GTGGACCACATTTTGTCAGAACTCTCTGTCATGACCTGTCCGTCTTGGGTGGCCCTGCACCCTGCATGAAGCTCATGGCTTCACTGAGTTACGCAAGCCCCTTCACCACGACAAGGCAGTGATCCATGAAGGGGATCCAAACATATGAGAAAGAAAATCAAGACTGCGCTAGCCATGAGAGTTGCCAGCTAAGTTGTAACTGAAGCTTTTAACTCTTTCAGGAATGCAGGTAGACCTCACTTAAAGACCACAACTGGGACCGGAATTTAGGTCGCTAAGTGATGTGGTCGTTAAGCAAATTATGTGACTGCTTTGCTTAGTGACTGCAATACCAACACTACTGGCTGCTGTCGTTAAGCGAGAATCGTGGGTCATTGAGTGGATGGAAACACAGGCAAGGGGGGCGGGGATGCCTCAGGGAGGTGAAGGAGGCTCTGGGAGGCCTGGCACAGGTCACATGCAAGTTGGGGGGGGTTGCTGCAGTGTGGTGCAAAGCTGCAGCCGGCTCTGGAAGCCTTAGCTACCCCAGCCTGGCCCATCAGCACTTACGACCGCAGGGGAGCTGCAACGTCCCCCACCTGCCTATCTCCCCCTCATCCACGCCCTTTTGGACGCCCTGCACAGTGGCACTCGGCGGCAGTACCAGCGCTGGGGCTGAAGTGAAGGCCCAAGGTGGCTCTAGAGAAGGACACCGGCTTTAGAGAATTGCAGCGCCCCTGCGGTCATAAGTGTAGGCAGGCTGCGAAGCGCCCAAAGTTTGATCATGTGACCGTGGGGGTGCTGCAATGGCTGTATCTTCAGCCATGGGTCATAAGTCCATTTTTTCAGCACCACTGTAATTTTGAACAGTCTTTAAGCAACGAATGCCTGTATAGTAATAGCTATACACCTAGCTACAGAACAGGATAGGCAAATTATCTGTCATGTTAACTAAAGCCGTGCCGTTGCAGGCAGGGAGGTAATCAAACTTGGATTAGACCATAAAGCCATGAGCTGTGTTCCAATCTCCTCCGATTGGAAGGAGTGGGGCATGCACGGGATCTGTCTGCATACATTAGATGATTTCTGCTTGCATGATGGTCTGGCTGAAAGAGAAACAAATATTTTTCTGTTCCGAATATGCTACAAATGTAAAGAAAAAAAACGAACTGGTTCATGGGGAAGTCTTTGCATGCTGTATTTCGTCTGACCGGTCCCAAGAACCTACAAAAGCAAACTTGTGCAACTTTTTCTAGGCTGAGGATTGTACTTGTGGAATGCTAATGCCACACTACAAAAAAGCATTGTGGCCAGGGCAAAATCTAAATTTGATCTTGTTGCATTCATCTTTAAATCCAGTTAAATTTTAGTTAAATTCATCAAAGTTATATGATTACTCCCCAGTCATCTATTTACATGACCTGCTCCACTCAGATTTGGAAACATGATAAACTCCGGCCCTTTCTCCACAAAACACTTTTTTTCTGTCCTGTTCGATGTAAAGAAAGACATTTACCCCTGCATGCACATGCACCATTTGTGCCTCTTCTGCACAACTGCAATCCCCCTTCGACACAACTTTTAGCAAAGCCACGTCCCGTAATGTTCTGCCCACACTATATTCTGTTAATATCTTTATTAGCCTCTCGGTACACATCTACGTACACACAAGGGGGGTTGTAAGAGATGCGTAGTACACTGGGAATGTGTGGGAGTAGGAGCAAGGTGGCTCTTTGGAAACTGGTTCAGTGAGTTTGGACCAGGCACTAACTCTGAACCCTCAAGGATCGTTCTTGCGGGGAAGAATCGGAGGAGGCGCCTCTGTTTATGGGTGGCACCGTGGGCTTCTGGTGGGGTGTAACTAATACTTTGGTTGAGGGTCCGTAAGGAAGGAAGGATGTGCCTGGGTGCTGGCCACACCACCTTCTCCGTCCAACAGGAATCCTGCAGAGATGCTTGGGCTTCTCCCTTCTTCGTCCTGAGAAGGTCCCTTGGGGCCTGCTGGTTGAGCCCCCAAAGGGCAAGAGCCCCAGCCACTCCTTGGTCCCTCCAACGGCCCTGGCTGTGCTCTTTCCTCCTGCCCCATCATCCTGAGCCCTCTTGGAAGACGCATCCTCCCTCCCATCCTTTGCGGGGTCCCTCTGTGCATGACGCAGATAATCCACCAGGGGGCTCCCTCTGCAAAGAAAAAAAGAGCGAAAGGCAGCACTGGTCGCCTCCGAGCTTCAGGAGGGATCCGAGCATGCGCCGGAGCTTCTGGCCAGAGCCTTGGGAACGCCGGACCTAGGCATTTTCAGAGGAGCGACGTCACTGGAAAGCTTGCCTCGCTAGGACTTTGCACCCCTCGCTTGGGCCCGTAGGCTGGACCTCGCAGGCGGCCGCAGGAAAGTCTCGCAGGGAGCGGGGTCTGTCTGGTGAGTGCTGGGAACGGACGGGCGTCTTGCAAAGTCCTCATCCAGCTCGGTCTTTTGAATCCTGGGGAGGGGGGAGTCCCTGGCCCCATGTTCCCCTGCCGCCCCTTTGCACGCACGTGCCAGGCAGGGGGAAGGCAGAGCGCCAGACCTGCTGCGTCGCCCCGGGGAGGAGGAGGGGGCCTGGGGGAGCCCTCCACCCCACCCCCCGTTTCCTGGGAAAGCCTCTG